GTCGCTGTAGATGCTGTTCATAGCCAAGTAGCGTGAGACAGAGACTGAACAGAGGGGTGGGAGGTTGTGGTTTACAGCCCCTGTAATCGGACGGGGGAGGATAAATTTAGATTCTAAGTTGCTAAAGCAGCAGCCGAAAAATCCGTGAAAAAGGGAAGTGTGTCCAGAGCCGGCACTCGCTTGCTGTTTCTGCTACTGCCTGGGAAACGCAGCGTAAACCTGACTCCACAGCAGCGACCCTGTAATATACCCTGGTTTTGGTATGGGAGTGGGGTCTAGTGGTTAGAGCAGGAGGGCCTTTCCCACCATAGGCACTGACTTCTACTGGTGCTGGTGGGTGCTCGACCCCCGTCTGCCCCCAGCTCCACCCTGACTCCGCCCGTGCCCCGCCCCCATTTCAACCCCTTCCCCAAAGTCCCTGCCCCAACTCCATCCCCTCTCTGCCCCTATTCTGACTCCTTCCCGAAATCCCCACCTGGCCCCGCCTCTTCCCTGCCTCCTCCCCTGAGGATGTCACATTCCCGCTCCTCCCCCTCCCTCTGGGAGCTTGCTACAGCTGTTTGGTGGCAGCAAGCACTGGGGAGGTAGGCGGAGGAGCTGAGACATGGCGCACTCAGGAGAGGGGGGAGGAGGAGGAGCCGGGACGGGGCAGGGAGCTTGGTTGCTGGTGGGTGCAGAGTCCCCACTAATTTTTCCCCACGGAGTCGGCGCCTGTCATAAATATAAAGGGAAGGGTAACAGCCTTTATGTATGCAGTAATACAAGATCCCTCTTGGCCAGCGGTACAGAATCACTTACCTGTAAGGGGTTAAACAGTTTAATTAATCTAGTTGGCAACTGACCAGAAGGACCGATAGGGAAGGAAGATACTTTCAAATGGGGGGGGAGGGGAGGCTTTGTTTCTTCTCTTGTGTGTGTGCTCGCTCTTGAAACAGAGAGTGGGACCAAGCAGGTAACCCAGCTCCTACTGAAATGGTACATCTAAAATTACAGAAATTGTAAGTAAAGGCAAGGAAATGCATTAGATTATCTTTTGTTTTACTTGTGAATTTTCCCTATGCCAAGAGGGAGGTTTATTCCTGTTTCGTAACTTTGAAGTTGAGCCTAGAGGGGAATCCTCTGTGTTTTATATCTTTTTACTACCCTGTAAAATTACCTTCCATCCTGATTTTACAGCGGTGCTTCTTTTACT